AATGCCATGAACAACAGCCTGCTAGCTGGTGGACTCCTGCCAGCATCCACGTGGACACCTTCTCTGGCAGGTGATTTCCCAGAGTAGTGGCTCCGTGTTGAACACGCGCCAGGGCCCCAAAAGCTCACTGATATGGATGGAACAGGCCACCTGTTGACAGGACAGGCTTCAGGGCTCAAGTCCAGACTTGAGACTCCTCTGGCCTGGCTGGCCTTGGACCCCAATGTGACTACAGCTCTGTTCTTCCCTCCACGTCCTATGTGCAGAAGTGCCAACCCCACGGCTCCAGAGACCTCCCAGACACTCTCAGATCAGACCGCAGTAGTGCCACCACTGCACGTGAGCCGTCCTTCCACGTGACTTCTCTAGACTGAACAAAAGCCCAGCCTGTCTCAAGGCCACCTTGGCCAGCCACCTGTCAGACATTCTAACCCACACTGTTCAGTGAGAGAGACAGACAGTTCCACTCTGTCTGCCGAAGCTATAGGTAGATGTGTCCATAGAGCAAACTGGAAGAATGACACAGTAGGGCAAGAGAGACGTGGAGGGCTTCTACCACAAGCTATACCTATGGAGAGATAGACACGATCCACCCATGGATCTGGACGCATGGAGACATGGAGATACAGATATATTTTGCATATGTGAATGTGGATAGAGATAGAGATCTATTTGGATAGAAGCGACCAAGATAGGAATTCTTTGGTTCCTTCCCCCTTGGAAAACAGATGTGTTTTCTACATGACGGGTGGGGGCTCAAATGAGCAACTCTACAATCTCTTCTCTCCCAGGCCATGTGGCAAATAGGTAGGGGCAGATTAAAACCCCAAGGAAAAAAACCCGCCAGTGCCCACCTTATTCTTCCAAATGTTTTCACCCACAATCCTTTCTGGAGATTGAGTGCCCATACTCTGAGTTGCATAAGCATGATACCCTGACAGTGTGGACATCTGTGTGTGTCCACTTGTGAGAGAAACTGTGATCAAGTGGGAGAGATAGACAAGGAGAGACAGAGATCTGAAGAAATAGAGACAATGAGAGGTGGGGGAGGCAAAGAGCAAGGGAGGGATGGAGATTCGTTGCCAGCATAGTAGGATGAGCATTAGATATGAATTTGGCCACTGCTGAGAACTGTGGGGACAAATACAATGTGCATGGACTGTCTGCCACTTGGGTTCAACTTATATCCCTTGGAGGAATGCTTGCTCATCAGGCACCGTCAATCCAGGCGAAGCTTGATGACTGCCAGGCAGTGTTAGTGCTGCCCCATGAGGATGTCTGTGCCCAAAGCTGTGAACTGGACTTGGGCATACCAATGGCTTCCACAGCCGTTCCCAGGGCCAGGAAGCATCTCACATCTCTGAAGGTTTGCAGGCATGAGAGGACAGGAGGGAAATGGAACAAATCACAACCAAGAGATCACATTGGGGAGGCAAAAATGGGTTTATTGGATCAATGGATTGTCCCTCAAGCTTGTGATTCCAGTATGGATTTCCTCTAAGTTAGCCCTTGCAAAGGAGAGAGGTGACCCTGCTGACAGAAGGCCACTGAGAGGCTGACCGGGAACATCTTCTTTCTTCCTGAGAAATGAAGGAACACTGTGGGTAGAGAGGCATGCCGATATATACCAACATAAGAGAAAAAAATGCTAAGGTTGAGGAATGAGCCAAAGTGTTACCCTATCTGGAATGCCTGCTGAGAGTGGCTTTGGCCCTTCGTGCTGCCATTTTGTGTTCTTTGGAAAGGCTTCCCCGGGGCAAAGATGCCAGGCAAAGGCCCCAGTGCATTCCAGACATTGGCTGGGACAGGATCACTCAGAGATGGGAGACTGCAGTCCTTTCCTGTTTTGCTGGTTCCCAGCCTATCCCAGCCAGGATGGATTCGTGACCCTGGGCTCCCACGGTCAAGATGTGTAGCGTCCTGTCTTCGTCTACATGTTCAGCTCCTGGAGACGGGACTTTCTGACTGGGCAGGAGGAAAAAGCATGTGGAGGTGTCCTTCTCGACCTCTCCTCGTTTCTTGGTTTGGCTGCCAGGGCCAGGGCTTCCCAGTCTACAGAGGAAAGGGTGATGGCAGGGAGGAGGTCACATGTGTGTCCTGACAGTGCTTTGGATCAATTAGGTGTTGGGGAGGGTTCCCATTGCCCGGTGCCCACGGTGCCTTCAGAGGCTTTGTGGAACTTGGTGCTCATCGGGAAAACAATGGAGGCCCGCCCACATGGCAGAAAGGATATCCTTCTTCTGTCTTTCCAAGTGATGGATGCTGCTTTGGGCATTGCTCTTCCTCCAGAGCACGCACAATGCTGCCTATTTCGCCTCCTTGCTGACCCGCTGGGACTGCATCTCAGAAAAGATCTGAATGAGTGTGGGGTGGGAAGGATGAGGCCTCCCTGCTCCTAGGCCTGAGGCCATGTGGAGTCATGCAGCATGGCCAGTAGGGCATGAAACTCCTCCTCGCTGAGGGGTGCTTCCAGGGGTCCCGGAGCGTCCTCTTGCGACAAACGCCCAATGAGAAAAGGGTGTGTTTTTTCATCCATCTCTGCAGCTGAGAAAAGTTCCTCTAAAAAACTTGAGGCTTCTGCATGGGGTTGGTGCTGTGGGTGGAGCGCAGCAGAGAGCCCTGCAGTAGGATTGGCTTGCTGCTGCCAGCCAGGGGTCTCAGCATGTGCAGGCTGCAGAACTGCCCCATCCTGAGCCTGTCCTGTGCCTATGACAAGCTGGGACCCCTCGACCCAGCACTGTGCAGCGCAGTTGCTCCTGGGGTGCCCTGCCTCCTTACGCCTTAGCAAGGACTGTCAGCTAGACACTGAGGTAGTCTTGGAAGGCCAGGGGTGCCATGACAGGGTACTCATGTTGCTGCTGGTATTCCCCTTGTGACGTGGGGCAAAGAAGTGCATGTGGATTGGAGAGAAACCCTCCCAGATTTGGTCCTGTCAAGGAACGGCTCCTCAGACCTCCAGCAGCAGGAAATTGTGTCCTCCCTCCCCACCTTGGGTGGGCGGGACCATCCTGGTCCCCAGGGCCTTCCCTCAAGGCCCCCACAGAAAACTGGAGGGACAAAGCACATGCAGGGAATGGGAGTTGTCCCTACAGCAAGGGCCTACTTGCTTCCCAGAGGATTGGACAGAGCCAGTTGAGGAGAGCTTACAGGGACACTGGCCAGGAGGCCTGGTTCCCCTGAGACTGTCACAAAAGGACTGGGTTTAAGGTGTGCTTCCAGGTCCTTCATGGGGCCATTTCTGCTCTGCCCTGGGTGCGAGCTCTTCTGTTCTGGAACCAGACTGTGACAGAGAAAATGTGTCGTGGACATGAGAAGAAGGGATAGATGTCAGCTCTCTTTCCCCCCTACCGCCACCTGGGATCTCTGGCGGAGAACGCCAGGACTCTTGGTCTGAATCTCAGGAGAACTCTGTCCATAACTTTCACCTGGCCCTTGTAAACTAGGTGAAAACCCAGGGAAATTGTGGACAGCTGGCCTGGAATCCATCCCCCTTTGATAGGCTTAAATGGCAGGCGTGTTCAGTCCCTAACTTGCCCTCCTGGCCTCACATCCACATGATAGGTAAGTCTACAAGCACATCACTTACGGATCTAGAGGAAGGCATGTACAGCCAGGAATCCACATCAACAACACTCACATTCAGATTTGGCTCTCCCTCTCCTCCATTTGCTACATGGGAAGAAGAGTTTTCAGGAACGAGCCTGTTGAGCTTCCCCTGTGTCCAGGGATAAGACTTGTCAGAGTACTGGGCCATGAAGGCCCGCTTGAGGCAGGGTTACTGGTCTTGTCCCAAAGGAGAGGCTTCCAGAGAGTCTGCCTCCATATACCATAAGGCTTTCACAGCTCCTATACCAGAAACCACTCTCTGCAGAACTTTCTCAACCAGGGCACATGGGACCTCTCACCCACCTGCCAATAATCCTTGGGATAATTATCCTAGATGATTAGGTTATCCAGACAAGGTGTGGTTTGTGAGTAGAATCCATTCCTGCTCTGGGGTCCTGAGGCCCAGGACACTGACAAACACGTTGCCACACACAAGACAGCAACCCCATTCACACTCAGGAAATCCTGAGGGCCACGTGGAGAGTGCTACTATGCAGCTCAAGAGGTGACAGTTTGTGTGATCTCTAGACAGGTGCCAATGTTTCCATTTCACTTCTTTTGTCTGGTCACTATTTTTATACACATGTACACTGCCAACTCCCCCCCAACACACACACACCATTTGGTTTGGAAATTCTTCCTTGGGCAGTCTCTCACTTGCAAGTTCAACACATTCCACTCATTGCCTGGGCACTGCATCCTGTGGATAACTCCAAGGAGCCCACGATTCCCCAGCAACGTCTCAGATGCCACTATCCTTTCCATGTTGAACAACTCACAGGCCACACTCTGAAAATGTACCTGAATGCGGGGTTCTGGAAGACCTGTGAGTCTGGCCAGGTGTTCCCTGGTAGCAATGCTTGGAAAGCAGTTCTTCTCAAAGGCTTGAAGGGGGATACTGGTTTGGAATGGAGAAATGGATGTCCATTTCCTCCTGCCTTCCTTTGGGAAATGTTCTAAAAAGAGAATAGAGTTAGAAAGGAGGGCTTTGAAGCCACTGGCACATCCAGTGTAGAAAGAGAAATTGGTGTCCGTGTGCATGCATGAGTGTGTGTGTTTGTGTGCCTGTGTGTGTTCTCTCATGTTTCTCCATTTTCCCTATAGCCTCTCCTTCCCTGAGTCCACTGAGGTCAGCATGGACCCATCCACACAAGCCAGTGCTTGGATCTAAAGTCTGAGGTGACCACAGAAGAGGACTCTGTCCTTCCCACAGTTTCAGGAGAAGAAGATTCAAAGCCTTTCTTGCACAGAAACAATGCACCTGACCACCAGGCGGTGCATGCACATTGTTCACCTCTGGGCACAGAAAGGCAGCTGGAACCAGTGGTCATGGTTTCCTCTGCTAAGCCTTTTTGCTCAACACATGGCGAACCCATGCATACCCGTTCCTGTGTCTAGGAGAAGCTCAAGAAGAGACCCGTTTTGTATGCTGGGGAGTTAACTTGAGTCCAAGCTGGAGGCTGTTCCTGTCCATGTGGTGGCCCTTCCCCTTGGGATTTGGCAGACCCCAATTGGCTCTGCCTTAGCTGTCTCGTGCACTGGTTCTGGAACCACACCTAATTGGCAAACGATGAACCAAAGGTCAGGCAACACTTGTCGACTATATATATATATATATATACATATATATATATATGTTTTTTTCTCCTCATACATAAGGTCTCAGAGTGTTTTGTGTGGCTCATGCAATAACACTGGAAAAATGAACTCTAGGGAAAGTCAGCGAAGATGTGTTGACCTGTTGGACTGTCCCAGGCCTGCCCGCCAATAGTACTTTGGTTCCACGAGTGAATGACTTGGAATGACTGCAAAGGGCATGAGCTCAACAGAGATGCACATACAGGGTCCAAAGCTTCTTACCTCCCCAGCTGAGCATGGAGATTGACATGCAGTGGCTCGGGCCTGATTGTGTCCACGACTTGTTCCCCAGGGAAAATGCAAGTGAAGCTGAAACTTACCTGGATCCTGGATTGTGGAATGTCTAGCTCTTGGGACAGTCGTTCTCTGGTGGCGATGCCTGGGTACGGGTTCTGCTGGAAAATGTGTGCAGAGCCCCATACTGCATCGGCTTTAGAACAAGCCGCCTCCGTCGGGATCTGCATGGGAGGGGGCCTGTTGCAGAGAAAATGACAACCGTGTTAGGAATGCTTTCATAGGAATGCAAACTGGTGGTGCGGTCTCATCTCTTCACTTTCTGTGCTGTGGAAACTTTCCCAGGCTGGGGCTTCCTGTGCCTTTGTCATTCGTGGATCCAACTAAGGGTCTGCTCAATAGGACAGGCAGTCCACCATCTGCCTATGGGAATGGATGATAGGCAAGTATCTAGGGAAATACCAACTGCTATCAAACCATATGATGGCATGCCAATGAACTGCGGAAACCCGCGGTGGGGATGAAGACGTGAAAGCACCTTAGGAGAAACAAAGAGGAACCCACTGCTCCTAAAATCATCAAGGTCAACTCCGACAACACATCTGAAGTGCTGGTCCATGAGGTGAAAGTTCTATTTTGTAAATGACACCTGAAATAAGTGCTGAATATTTTCCTGTTCTCTGCCACCTGAGGTCTAGCTTGCCTATTTCCAAAAGAGGGACTCTTGTTGGGAATCCCAGCCACCAACTTCAGTTTTCATTCTGACAGCAGCCATATGCAAACCTCTCTCTATCCCTTTCCCCCAATCCTCCCTGGATCACAATCCCTCCAGCATGTATGCCGTCAATTGAGGTGGTCTCTTCTACTTTCCCGAACCCTGGAAAATTATCAGGGACTTTGGGAATTGCAAGCAGGGAGCAGGGCATTGGATGGAAACTTACTCCTTGATGTGCTGGTGGGAGCCATGCCGATGGAGTCACTTGGGTTCCAGAGCCCTGGCCGGCCGACTGGGCAGGACCGGTACCATGGGACTCATCAATGCCTGGGATGGCCCTCCCCTGGATGTCCCACCCCCATCATTTCGACAGCTTCCTGTGGTAGCCCTGCCATCAGTTGTTCAGACCTTTGGCAGAAGAGGTCTTCAGGAGGACATCGAGACCACTTGAGCCAAGTGCTTTCCCTGGGGAGTAGACATGTCCTGCCCCCTCTCCTCTGGATGCAATATGCCTTTCCCATTCCCACTAGCGTTTCTCCAGGATTACAGCCTTGGCATCGAATCGTGGTGTTCAGACTCTGGGACTCTGTGTAGGACCAGGCCAGGTGAAGGCCCTTCGATAATCCCTTCAGATTCTGGCATGTGTGGGTGGAAATCGAATCACCTTTGGCCACCCAAGACGAGCCTCCTAATTAAGTTCCCTTGTCTTGCATTACATTGTTTTCTATCTTTCTTTTCTTCATTTACAATTATTTCTTATGTATTGGAACTTTCGTCATTTTTCATTTGAATGTTTTTGGTTTTCCCCTTCATTTTTATATTTATTTTTTTGGTATTACTTTTTTTTTAAAATATTGATTTTGTTAGTGCCCTGGTATTTTCAAACTTCACCCTGCCAGTCAGGACTGGTTAACCACAAAGTTTGGTGTCTATATGCCCTCCCCATCTGGGGAACCGAATTGGGATGACATTATGGCAGCTCCCAAGCAGCTTGTGAAGCTGCAGGTGTGGAGCCAGGCAGGAAACTGAAATCAGCCAGCTTAGATGAGTGGCACGTGAGAGGAAAATTGTGGAGTTGGCCATCGCCATGTATGTCGGGTGGTTTGGTCGACACTCTTAGTTGCTTGTGGGATTGCACATGAGTGTGTGTGGCAAACCACCTCCTGTGACGCAGACGCTTTGAACCCTTTCCTCCCAGGCTCACATCCAGGTGGTTCCTCTACTGGCACATTTCTTATGGGCCATGGTGACAGCTTGGCATCTAGAAGTTCCGTATTAACAACACCAGCATTTGGATTTGACTCTCTCTCCTTTTGTGGCCAGGAGAAAAGTTTAACTCTCATTGGGAACTTCAGTTTCTTCTCTTTCTGTGTATAAGAGTTGTCAGCGTTGGGGGGAGGGAGGATGGGGGGTGGAGAAAGATGGCAGAGGAGTAGGAGACCTGGATTTCGTCTGGTCCCAGGAATTCAGCTGGATATGGATCAGACAATTCTGAACAATTACAAACTCAACAGGAGATCAAAGAAAAGAATAGCAAAAACTCTCTGATCAGAAAAGCGACCACTTTCTGGAAGGTAGGACGTGAGGAGAAGTGAATCCGAGGCGATACTCAGGAGGATAAACGACAGGGGAGGGGGCCTCCATCAGTTTGCTTCTGGCAAGTGAGAGAGCAACGGAGCACAAAATTGGAAGTTTTAGAAGTCGCCTCCGCTGAGGGACGTCACTTCAGTGGCTAAGCGGCTGTGGAATCCTCGCAGGACAGTGTGGTCTCAGGATCTAGGGGTCACAGAAAGACCAGGGGTGCCTGAGTACAACAGAATTCCAGGTATCAGAGCTGGGAAGCCAGCTGCAGAGACAGAGGCGAGGTGCGGGCTCTCAGCTCAGGGTTGCCATAAACCATGACCCACGGCATAGTTGGGCAACTGCTCCTCCGGCAGGGACCCAACATGCGGCAGATCCGGGTAGCCTCCCCTTCCTCCCCGGGGAGGAGTGGTGTGGGAGTGCACCACAGGGATCTGCTGAGATTGGAGACTCCACACCGAGTTGGGTGCCAGAGTTAGAAACGCTCGGTCACAGGCCTGGTGAGCATGGAGTGCAGCCACAGACAAGGGAGGTGGGAATGAATGATTGCTTTTCTCTGGGTGTGCACTGAGAAATGGGGACCCTGAGTTCTTGCATCCTCTGTGGTGGAGATTGGGAGGATGCCATTTTTACTCTCCTCCTCCAAAGCTGTATAGAAAGTTTGCACGGATCAAAAGCTCCTGAGAGCAAAGCAGAGCAGATTACTTAGCCCGGACCGGCAAGGGCAGGGCAATTCCACCTCTGGCAAAGACAGTTGGAAACCACGGCAACAGGCCCCTCCCCCAGAAGATCAGCAACAACAGCCAGCCAAGACCAAGTTTACCCATCAATGAGAACGGCAGAACTCCAGCGCTATGGGAATACTGCACATAGACTTGATGGCTTTTTTACGATGATTCTTTAGTCTTTCAAAGTTAATTTCTTTAAACTTCTTTTTGAATTTTTTCTTTTTCCCTTTTTCAACCAACATCTTATCAATCCCTTTTTAAAAACATTTTTATTTTTCATTTTTAGAGTCATATTCTGTCCCTTCATAGTAGTTACCCTTATTTTGGCATATATGTGTTGCCCTCTCTAAAATTTTGAAATAGTTTCTTCTAACAGATCAAAATATACCTTATATCTCTAGTGTATGGCTTTGTTCTAGTCTCCTGCCTGATCACATTCTCTCCCTTCTTTTTCTTTTTTTTTTTTAAATCCTCTTCTTTCTTTTTTAAACAACTTCTTTTCATATCAACTCTAATTATAAAATTTTTTATAATTATCATCTTTACAGTCATATTCCATCCCTTCATCATATCAACCCATATTTTTGTACATATATGTTTTTCTTTCTATAATATTTTGATGGTCACTTTCTTCTAAGAGAAAAAAAATACACCCTAATTTAGTGTGTGGTAATGATCTAAGCACCAGCCTGATCATATTGATCATATTCTGTTTTGTTTTGTTCTGTTCTGTTTTTATCTTTTTCTTTTTCTTTTTTTTTTCTTTTTTTCTCTCTTTCACTTTCTTTTCCCCTGGTTTCAGAACTTTTCTGATTTGTTTAGAGTATATTTTTTGAGGACGTTGTTAGACTGTTAGCGTTTTCTTCACACTTTCATCTATTCTCCTCTGGACAATATGACAAGACAGAAAAAAATCACCTCAACAAAAAGAACAAGAGGTAGTCTGACTGACAAGGCCCTACTCAATACGGACATTAGTAAGATGTCAGACCTAGAGTTCAGAATCATGATTTTAAAGATACTCGCTGGGCTTGAAAAAAGCATGGAAGTTATTAGAGAAACTCTTTCTGGAGAAAAAAAAGAACTAAACTCTAACCAAGTCGAAAGCAAAAAGGATATGAATGAGGTGAAATCAAAATTGGGGGCACTAACTGCGAGGATAAATGAGGCAGAAGAGAGAATCAGCGATATAGAAGACCAAATGACGGAAAAAGAAGAAGCTGAGAAAAAGATAAACAACTACTGGATCATGAGGGCAGAATGCGAGAGATAAGCAATACCATAAGACGAAACAACATTAGAATAATTGTGATCCCAGAAGAAGAAGAAAGAGAGAGCAGGGCAGAAGGTATATTGGAGCAAATTATAGCAGAGAACTTCCCTAATGTGGGGAAGGAAACAGGCATCAAAATCCAGGGGGCACAGAGAACCCATCACAAAATCAATAAAAATAGGTCAACATCCCAAAATCTAATAGTAAAACTTATGAATCTCAGAGACAAAGAGAATAACCTGAAAGCCGCTCAGGAGAAGAGATCTGTAACCTACAATAGTAGAAAAATTAGATTGGCAACAGACCAATCCAGAGAGTCCTGGCAGGCCAGAAATGACTGGGGTGATATATTCAGAGCACTAAACAAGAAAAATATGCAGCCAAGAATACTATATCCAGCTAGGATGTCATTGAAAACAGAAGGAGAGATAAAAAGCT